CTGCTTGACCCCAGTGGTGGGGCTCGAAGGGGTGGGGGCGGCTGTTGGTTGGTGTCTGCCCCTCGCGGCCACTGCCGACTGGAGCGCGCTCCAGCCCCCACAGCGCCGCCCTCGTGGGCCCATTGCCTTCTCTCTGGAACCTCCCGGGAGGTATGCCCTCCTGTCTGCTTCACTAGGAAAGCGAGTCGCCTGTCCAGTCGGAATCCACACCTTTCCTGATCAGAAAGCCAGAGCTCGTAGCTGGCCTCTGCCTGGACTGACTCCGCCCCCAGTGCTGGTGATTGAACCCAGGGCCTTCATGCTGAACCACATCTCCAGCCCTTTCATTTTTTGCCAGGGTTTTGCTAAGTGGTCACATTGCCTAGGCTGGGCTTGATCTTGAGATCTTCCTGTCTCAGCCTCCCAGAGTGCCGAGATTACAGATATTTGCCGCGACACCCAGCTTGGGACCAGTTTTTATGTACAAAAACCACATGAACAAGGGAAACTAACAACAAAGGAAGTAGGATATAATCCCGGGGAAGGAAGGCATGGTTTTATATTATTTGTAATTTCTGGGTACCTGCTGGGTGAGGAAGATCAGAGTCAAAGGTAGATAAAACATGGTTCAGATCCTTACATGCACAGTGATAGTCAATTAGTAGTCATTGCCACAGTGAGGGGCTGAAAGGAGAAAGCCTTCTTAATGGAGGTATCTAAGTTGGGAATTGAAGGGTGAGTAGGAGTTTGTTAGGGGAAACATAGTATGGAGAGAAGGTCTAGCAAGAGACAATGGAAGAAACCAGTCATTTTCCTAGGCTCTGCATAGTGCCTTGCGGGCGAGGACCAGGCCTTCCCCCATCTCCCGGGGCGTGAACACAGTCTTGGCAAATGTTCCTTTGAGTAAATGCCGGGGTTGGCACTTTGAAGACCAGTGCTGGGGAAATTGCAGGGAAGCAGGTGGGACTTGCATGCAGAAGGCATGCGGAACCTTGGAGGGTGTTAGCCACAGGAGAGGGCAACTAGATCAGTCTCATTTATTTTTACTAAGTGTGTGAGTGTGTGTGTACGTGTATTCCCACAAGGTGGGGATTGGACCTAGGGGCTTACACGTGCTGGGCAAGCCCTATACCCCTCAGCCGTTCTTCCACCGCTGTCTCATTAATGCAAATACATGAGCCTGTGAATTTTCCTGGCTGCTTTTCAACACAATGAAAAGGTCTTCAGTTTCACTCAACATAAAGAGAACGGGAAGTTAAACTACAGTGAGATATTTTCTACTATCACTTTGGTTTTTTGTTTTGTTTTTTTTTTGGTACTGGGGATTGAACTCGGGTCCTTGCGCATGTGCGGTAGGCGGCGGAAACACTGAGCTAAATCCCCGGCCTCTACTATCACTTTGGCAGACCCAGAGCCCGGAACACTGTGCCCAGGGAGGTAGAGCACACATCGATGATAATGCTCTGGTGACAGTGCCTGCCTTACCTTTAAGTGTGCACCCTCCAACCCAGCAGTTTCCCCTCTAGAAAGTTGTGTCATAGATGTGCTTGCTTGCCTGTGAAATGACATTTTTTCCCAAAGCTGCATTGTTTATTTGGAAGAGTAACCCAAAAGCCAAGGGAGCAGGAGGCATTTTAAGTTCATCCATACAAAGGAACACAGAGCATGCATCGCAGAGAATGAAGAAAGTTCATGTACAATTTAAGATCTATTGTTAAGAGCAAGGGCCAGGGATTTAGCTCAGTGGTTTCGCCCCCTGCTGCACAAGTGCATGGACCCGAGTTCAATCCCCGGTACCAAAAAAAAAAGAAAACCAAGGTACAGAATATTATGTGAAGTATGGTTCCTTGCATTTGATAACAGAACACCTGTTTTGTTGCGTATGTATGTGTTACTTTCTGGAAGGGCACACAAGAAATTGGTAATAGTTGCTTCTAGAGAGAGGAACTGAGTAGGGAGATTTTAAGGAATGGGATGGAAGACTTCTCATTTCTATTCTGATCAAAAGAAATTCAAATGTCAAGAATTAAGCAAATCTGCATCTGATAAAGGTCAGTTTCCAGTACTGCTTAGGTTAAAAAAAGCAAAGGAGAGAACAGAGTAAAATCTCCCAGTACTCTTTGAGGAAACCAAATAGATGTTCTGTATTTGGAACAGGTGTATGGTGTGTGCAGTGGTAGTTTGCCTGTGGGGTGAGATGAGGGGCAGCTAGTTAAGGGAAACCTAGTTTTTACCATATGCTATTTGTGTAGTTTGCAAAAGCATTAGCACCCAAATGTATTAGCTGTTATAAACAAACAAGTCCAGAGAGAGAGAAGGAAATAGGGATGGATTTATGTGCGTGGCTGGGGGCCGAGTAGAGGCATGGATCTGCACACAGTGGTGGGTAGATCCACAGAGAGGTGGGTGGGTGGTCTCATGGATGTCTGTGGATGTCCATGGGCTGGGACATGGGCTGGATAACTGGCTGGGGGCCGGCGCTGAGGAGGGTCAGGAGAGGCACAAGCTGCTATTGCAATGGCCTAGGCCAGGACTTACTGAGCCAGGGTCAGATCGTTGAATATCTCTCATATGAATTACGTTTCTTGTATACATAACTCTGTAGCTCCCAGCCTGGTTTTCTTTCTAGAAGGGCAAATTCCTTTGGCATGAGCTTTTTCTGGCAACTGCTCGGAAATTGTTCTGTGTGTAATAACCACCAACAGCTTAATCCCTTTCAGTTATCACCTGAAGACTTACGTGGCGTGAAACCAATTAAAATCATCAGTCTTTAATATAAATCACTCCTCTCCCTAATCAAATTCTTATTTATGAGGCTCTCTTCTAAATGCCCAAGTCCACAAAAGCCTGAGCTTTGTCTTTTAAAAACTTTTTAATTTATTTACTGTTAGGTTTTTTTATGTCTTGAAGTTTCCAAACTAAATCTCTTTGACTGTTAGCCTTCTCAAGTTTACTTTTTAATAATCCTTTGTCCAAATAATAGTTATATTTCTGAAGACTGGTGTAGGTACTTGCTTTATATCTAGATCGCTCGATCTCTCTCTCTCTGGTCAAACTGCAAAACTCCTTTATTTCTTACATTTATAACCTCTTGAGCGGTTTTTAAGTGTGTGATTCTGTGGCCGTGTGTGCCTCTTATGCCTAAGTCGATCCCTGGTTCGAACTTCTTGGCGCACATATGTTGATCAGTTGTCACCCGTATTCTTTTCTTTTGGGGGGGGTAGAGAGGGAGCCCAGGGTCTCACACGTGCCCACCGTCAAGGGCTCTTCCCCTGAGTTGCTCACCCGGCCCTCAGCCGTTTTCTCCAGGTGAAATGATCTGCTTGCTTCTCCCTTTCTCTGAAGCTGCGGTGTGGCATTGTAGAGCTCCGTACTGCCTGGAGCTCCTTGGTGGCCTTGCCCTGAGACTGAGGATGCTGTTGCAGTGGGTGCCGTGAGGGGCTGTGTAACCAGTGGCGTGTGGGCTGGGCTGCGACACAGGAGGCCGTACACACTGTAGCCCACGGCCACTCGGGAACCTTTTCCAAGGGCCAGCTCCTGCCGACGGGTATGAAGCAGGGATGTGGGCCCATGTTCGGACTTTTGCAAAGAAGCCCCAAATCCAGAATTTTATGTGAAAGTGAGCTGATTATAGTAAGCAACTAATCTGAGGTTTTAAAGCATGCCTAAAACTGCGGCAGTGAACTATTGGTGGACTAAATTGGCCTTGGGTTGGGGTCTGCTTTATACTTCTCATTTTATCCAGTCTAATTGTGACAGAGATGGGAAATTGAGACCCCCACCGTAGGGCACCAACTTTTCCCAAAGTTGTGTACCTGGTCCACAGTCAGATCAGGACTGAAAGCGAAGTTAGGTTCTCTATTACAGAATTCCAACAGCTAGTAGAGGTTAATTCTTGGGCAGATATACCTGATCTAGCTACACACATGTGGATCTGTTTATTTGTCGGCATGTCTCTTTAACAAAACACAAGCTTTTTATTTTATTTTATTTTTCTTTCTTTCTTTTTTTCTCCCATTACTGGGGATTGAACCCAGGGATGCTTTACCACTGAGCTATAGCCCAGCCCTTTTTATTTTGAGACAGTATCTTGCTAAGCTGCCCTGGTAGGACTCAGATTTGCAATTCCCCTGCTTCAGCCTCCCTCAGTGCTGGGATTATTAATTAATTAGTTAATTAATTACTTTTTAAGATAGGGTTTCCCTAAATAGCCCAGGCTGGCCTTGAACTTGCTATATAGCCTCAAATTTATGATCCTTATGACCCTCCTGTCTCAGCCTCCTGAGTGTTGGATAGTTTAATGGTGAGATGTAGGATTCATTGCCTGAATTTGGATTCAGCTCCAGAACTTCCCAGCTATGTGATCCTGGGTTCAACTTCTCTGTGACTTAGTTTCCACATTTTTTTTTGAGTCAGGGTCTTGCTATGTAGTCCAGGCTGGCCTCGAACTTGTGACAATCCTCCTGCCTCAGCCTCCTGAGTGCTGGGATTTACAGGTGTGGACCACCACAGTTGGCCCTAATTTTCACATCTGAAAAAAGGAAATGATAAAATACTTAACTCCTAGAATCAAAGGATGTAGTAAGTGCTTTATCCAAGCACTTGGAGTAGGGCCTGGCACTAGAGCTGCTGTGATGGTGGTGGTGAAGGTGATGAAGTGGATCAGAAAGTTTTCAGTTCCCAGGACGGTAAAGTTAGAGGGACCCGAGTAACCAGAGGGTCCTTTGTTTACAAAAGAGCATCTTTATGGTCCTGTGAAGTGGCGCTGTCTATTTGTACAGCAGTGGGAGTTGCCAGAGTCCCAGGACCTTGTCTGTGCTGCAAGGTGAGACATGAATCACTGTGTTCCCAGCCCTTGCTTCGTGGTCTTCCTGGGCAGCAACCTTGTACCCCACTGGGCAGTGGGGTGCAGAGCTTGGTCTGTTTCTGGCAGCTCCACAGCAGCTGTGTTGAGCCCCGGGCAAGCCCGCCTTCCTGGTTGGGGGGCGGTCCCTAAGCTGTGCTGCCGTGTGTGTCTGCAGGACTGGAATGCCACGTGGTCCACCAGCAGCCCTGAGTTCACCAAGTGCTTTCAGAACACCGTCCTCGTGTGGGTGCCTTGCTGCTACCTCTGGGCCTGCTTCCCTTTCTACTTCCTGTATCTCTCCCGACATGACCGGGGCTACATTCAGATGACACACCTCAACAAAGCCAAAACTGTAAGTCCCCTGCGACATCACTAGGGTGGTGGGAGTGGAGGGTGTGGGGCACCTGGGTGGGCAGCCACGGACCCTTGTTCAAACTCACATTTTCCTTTCATTTAATTGGCCCTACCTTCCTTTTTCTTTCTTTTCTTTTCTTTTTTTTTTTTTTTTTGGTACTGGGGATCAAACTCAGGTCCTTATACTTGTGCAGCAGGCAAAACCACTGAGCTAAACCCCTGACCCTGCATTCCTTTTTCTTGAAGGCAGAAGAATAGTGTGGTAGATGAAAGATGGAGCTTTGGAGCCAAACATAGGTTCAAATCCCGGCTCCGTCACTTTCTAGTTCTGTGACCTTTGACACATTTTTTAACTTCACCAAGCCTTCTCTTTTCCATTTGTGTGGTGGAGTTGATAGACTTGTTATTTAGGGATTATCAAGAAATTATCAGATGGTCTTCCTCCTATTTTCTTTTTATTTTCTACTTTAAAGTTTTTATTTTGAAGTAACTTAAAACTACATGAAAGTTCCAAGCATGCTACCAGAACTACTGCTGACTCCCTATACCAGTGGTGGCGAACCCGTGGCACGCCTGCCACAGCGGGCTGTTAGTTAGCATTGAAAGCTCTAAAAGGTTTGCCATCACTGGCCTATACTCATTGCTTATGTTCACCAGTTTTGGGACGTCTGGCCAGCAGTGCATCACGGTAGGGACACATGGCGGACCAAGCCATTCAATTCATGGTTGGAAAATTGAGAGACCAGGGTCCCACAGTCCCCTTCAAGGGGGATGGGATACCCCCAGCGACCTAAAACCTCTTCCTGTACCCCACCTCCGAGCCTATGGTGTGTCTGTCACCAGAGGGAACTTTAACGTGCGTCCCTGGGTGGCAACAGTGTGTCCTTGTGGGCTCATCACTCGCAATAAATGTGCCACCCTGGGGCAGCTGTGTTGATGGGGGCCGGGGGGCATGCAGTGGGCAGATGGGAAGTCTCTGCATGTTCCTCTTAATATTTCAGTGAACCTCAGACTGCTTTAAAACAAGTCTTTTAGAAATCAAAGACCTCTTCTCTGAAAACTATAGCACTTTGAAAAAAGAGATTGAAGAGGATATCAGAAAATGGACAGACATCCCTTGCTCCTGGCTAGGAAGGATCAACATAGCAAAAATGACCATACTTCCAAAACTGCTATATAGAGTCAGTGCAATCCCAATTGAAATCCTAGCAGCATACTTCATGGACCTTGAGAAAACAATCCAAAAATTCATTTGGAACAAGAAGAGACCCAGAATAACAAAAGCAATTCTAGGTAACAGAGACATGGCAAGGGGTATCATAATCCCCAACTTGAAACTATACCACAAAGCTGCTGTGATAAAAACAGCATGGTACTGGCAAAGAAACAGACCTGAGGAGCAGTGGGACAGATTAGAAGATGCAGAAACAACTCCAGACACACTCATCCACTCATCTTTGACAAAGGAGCTAAACACCCTGACTGGAGGAAAGAGAGCCTCTTTAATAAATGATGCTGGAAAAATTGGGCTTCAACTTGCCAAAGATTAAAACTAGACCTGTATCTCTCACCATGCACTACACTAAAATCAAAATGGATTAAAGATCTAAATATTAAAATAGAAACTCTGAACCAGCTGGAACAGAGGTTAGGTAGAACCCTTGAAGACATTGGCGTAGGAAAAGATTTTATGAACAAAACCTCAGTGGCCCGTGAACCAGCACAAACAATCAACAAGTGGGATCTGTTCTTACTATAAAGCTTCTACATAACAAGAGAAACCACCAGCAGTGTGAAGAGACAACCCACAATGTGGGGAAAAATCTTCACCAGCTGTCCCTCAGACAAAGGTCTACTCTCTAGAATCTATAAAGAACTTAAAAAGATCAGACCTCCCAAATTTAAAGACCCAATCCGAAAATGGGCATCTGAAATGAACAGACATTTCTCAGATAAAGAAGTGGACATGGCAAATAAACATATGAAAAAATGTTCAATATCACTGGTCATTCGAGAGAGGCAAATGAAAACAACACTGAGATTCCACCTCACTCCAGAAAGAATGGCTGCTATCATGAAATCAACCAATAACAAATGCTGGCGGGGCTGTGGGGAAGGAGGAACCCTGCTCCACTGCTGGTGGGAGTGTAGACTGGTGAAAGCACTGTAGAAATCAGTATGGAGATACCTCAAAGTACTAGGACTGGAAGTCCCATTTGACCCAGCTATTCCACTGCTGGGGATCTTCCCCAAAGAATTAAAAGAATCATACCACAGTGATATATGTGCACCCATGTTCATAGCAGCACAGTTTGTGATAGCTAAAACTTGGAAACAGCCCAAACGCCCATCAACTGGAGACTGGATAAAGAAAATGTGGTTTTTTAATAAAATGGAGTACTACTCAGCCATGAAAAATGAGAAATTAGAGACATTTATTGCTAAATGGATGCACATTGAGGTGATACTCTTAAGTGAAATAAATAGGATACACATGCGTAAATACCGAATAGTTTCTCTGGTGTGAGAAACTGAAAGTGTAAATAAGGACTAAAATGTATAATAGGTAATGTGAAATAGGAAGAAAAGGGGCAAAGGGGAAGGGGAAGTGGGAGGGGTAGGGGAAAGGAAAGAAGGGAATGGAATTAATATGAGAAAATGAAAAAATGGAAACAAAGTCTTTGTAAATAGGGAGTGATGGACGGGTTGAAGGGAGGGTAGGGGAAGGGGGAAAAATAAGAACCAAGAGAGATTATGTAAAGGTGCAAATCTCCAATGATGAATGTCATTGTGTTGTACACCTAAAATGTACCAATAAAAGGATATACAAAAAAAAATGTCATGCATTTCCCTATCCTTTACTAGATGTGATGTCTTCCTTTCAGACCTCTAGGAGTACTTCATATGTTTCTTGGGGAACATTATCATTTTAAAAATATAAATCAGATTTTGTTCTTTGCCTTGCTCAAAAACCTTTCCTTAGCTTTTCACAACCAGGAATATAACCTGGAACTGCTCCCACTGGCCCAGCACATCTGGCTCCGACACAGGTTCCTCTTCAGCCACCTCCTACCACGGCCATTGCTTATTCTGCAACTGCAGCAAACCCTTTGGGCTTGTTCCTACCACAGGGCTTTTGCACTTCCTGCATGTTTTGTTTGGGTTATTTTTTTCTTCACGTAATCATTTCCTTCAATTCTTAACTTAGATGTTGCCTGATCAGAGAGGCCTTTCCGAACCACTCTGTCGATTAACTGATTTCATTTTTCTGCGAAACACTTACTCCTGTCTGGCATGGGTGTGTGCATTTTTCAGTTTGTTTCTTTCCTGTTTTCTTCCACTAGACCATCAGCTCCATGAAGGCAGCAACTTTGTATTGTTCTCTGTTGTTTCCCCAAGCATTTGAGAGCCCCAGGCCCGTCTCTCAAGTGTTTGATGCGGCAACAGCATTAGCCAGACTTGGCAGAGGAGCCTGAGCTCGACTTGGCTGTATTCCCAGAGCTGGGGCTTCTTGGAGACCGAGAGTGATCGCTGGGGGCCGGCTGGTGCCTGGCCTGAGCCTCGGTGGGGGCACAGGGGCCAGCGCAGTGCTGTGTGTCATGAGACAGACATGTGTGCTCTTCTCTTGCAGGCCTTGGGGTCCTTGCTGTGGGTTATCTGCTGGGCAGACCTCTTCTACTCTTTGTGGGAGAGAAGTCAGGGCCAGCCCGTGCCCCCAGTGTTGTTGGTCAGCCCCACCCTCTTGGGCATCACCATGGTGAGTAGAAGCCGGCTGCAGACCCTTGGCCATGTACCATGCCCTGTTGGGACCCAAAGTAGTAGCCAGTGGGAAGGGAAGGGGAAGTAGAAAGAATACCAGCTCCCCACGATGAATGGAAGCATTATGTACTTCATGTACTAGTAAAAATTAAAATGTAAATGTAAAAAAAGTAGTAGCTGGCAGTTGGACATGAGGAGAGTCCAAGGTGAAAATCCAGAATCCGCCTCCTCTCGAACAATTCTGAGATTTGGCAGTGCTGGACACGCATTTGTTTCAGGGCGGGATCAGCTGGAATGGAGATGCAGCTGCCCTTCCGCCGTCCCCTGTTGCCTCCCGCCCCTGCGGCTGATTGACAGATGCCTTCTTCCGTTGTGTTGGCTGCCCTGTGTTCTCAGGCTGGCTACCTCAGTCATTTATAGGTCTGCCTGGGACCTCAGGGCCTGTGCTGTAGCAGGTGGGGTTCCATGCTGCCCCGGAAGCCACCTCGTTAATTACGGCCCAAGTCGTTGAGGGCTTACTGTACCTGGCAGGGTTCCTGATGTTTCACTTGTCTGATTTATGTGTATTTGACCAGTTCCCTCATATCGCAGATAAGCAGACGGAGGTACAGGGAAGTGGGGGAACTGTGCAAGGCCATGCAGCCAGAAAGTGGTAGGGCCAGATTCCAAACGTGTGTCATGCATCTGTCCTGCATGCGGTCCTTGTGGGTGTTCTGCTGGGCCTTGCTTCCTTTGGGACTGCATAGCTCTGGCAGGCACTAGGAATGTGAGATGGGAGGCAGCCCTACCTGTCCTTCTGTATTGGCCACCTTTGCTGCCCCTGGGACACAATACCTGACACCCACAACTTAAAGGAGGAGAGGCTTAGTAGTTACGGTTTCAGAGGGTTCGGTCCATGGTCATCTGGCTCCAAGGCAGAAATGTCATGGTGTAAGGGCCTGGAGGCAGCAAAGCTGCTTAGTGCATGGTGGCCGGAAGAGGAGCAGGGGAACAGTGTGAGAGAGAAAGGGACCTGATATAGTCCCAAGGCCATGCCTTCATGATCCCCCAGACATACCTGGAAGTACGCTTTGGTAACCCCTAGACAGATCCCTAGCCAGCCAAGTTCACAGCCCAGCTTAACTGTCACACTTACTGTGTTCCAGAAGGTGGTGATAAAAGTGTGTAGCTGGTGGCCGGGGATTTAGCTCAGTGGTTTCACCGCCTGCTGCGCAAGCGCAAGGAACTGAGTTCTATCCCCGGTACCAAAAAAAAAAAAAAGCGTGTAGCTGGGGAAACAGACACAGAACAAACAGTTCCCCCACAAAGGCACAAAATGTGTACATGTATATAGAGGGCCATGAGGATAAAGCCAGGAGACTTGACTTGGTCTGAGGGTAGGGAGATGTCTCTCAGGGGAGGACAGTGGAGCTGAGGCTCAAAGGATGAGCAGGAGGAAGGAACTGAGAGCCCAGGACCCTTCCACTGAGAACAGCATGCACAGCGGTCCTGGGGCAGGAGGGAGAAATTGAGGCGGCCTGTGTGGCTGGAGCAGAGATGCAGAGGAGGTAGGAGGGGAGTGGGGCAGCAGGGAAGGCAGAGTCTGACCCGGCAGAACTTGGAGCATCGGGGCTAGTGGGGTTTTATTTCTCCATTTCCAAAGCTGGGTCCTAAACCTTTTTTATGCCTTCCAGACCCTTTTCAGCCTTTGCCATCCTGGTGTAAGTCTCCTTAGAGTAATGTTCTTGTAAACATAAAATGCAGAGGCTAATAAGGGAAACCAATCCCATTTACATACACACACGCACACCCATGAAGAGGATGTGGCATCCACATATATTTATACTCAAGGTTTAATTTTCCATTCAGTGAAATTCATCTCTTCTCCTGTACAGTTCTGTGAGTTCTGAGAATCCGGTGTTGTCGTGTGCCTTCCTCCTGCATGAACAGCCTGAGGAGCTGCCCCTTGCCCCAGAGTTCCCTCCTGCTGCCTTTCCTGCCTCCCGCCCCGTCACTGCTCAGGATAGGTGTTTCCTGTCCCACTGCTCTGCACCTCCAGAGTGTCACGGGACTGAGACTGTCAGCTGGAGCAGCTCTGGCTTTGCAGCTCTGAGGTCTCATCATTGTATGAATCAAAAGATCTTTCTTAGCCTGGGCGCGGGGTCCCACACCTAAAATCCTAGCACTCTGGGGGGCTGAGCCAGGAGAATCACAAGTTCAAGCCCAGCTTGGGCAACTCAGTAAGACGCTGAGCATTTGATTGTGATGCACTCCATCCGTCATTTATTCCTCAGTTGCAGGACATTCAGGCTAGGAAATGAATCAGAGTTAAACACAGTTAATCAAGATGCTAAAAAGCAAATCTAATCAGAAAGATATATGCTTCTCTGTTCATGCACTTCAAATCCAGCTCTAGCCGCAGGTGGGATGATGCCTTAATTCCTAAGTAGCAGTGCCTGTACGTGATAGGTGGAGGCATCCTTGGGTACACCTATGGAATATGGAGATAGCTGATTTGGGCTGGTGACAAGGCCATCTGTGCTGCACAGTTGCGTGATGCTCCTTCCCTCCGCCTTGGTGGTGCTGATCAGCAGACGGAAAGATGTCGTTGTTGCTGTCCAAGGTCATAGAGCCCTGGCTTCTAGCCCCAGCCCATCCTTGCACCCCAGGTTGAACCCCTGGTCCTAAAGGGAAAGGGTTGGAGCAAGGATGGGGCATCTTGATTTCTGTAGGTGGGAGGTGTTCTCTGTCTGGACCTTAGTTCCTATGTCTTCCAGGTGGGGCTGTCTATGGCAGAGCACCTGAGGCACCTCATACGGGACCAGTACGGCAGGTACCTAGTAACCGTGGGGGCTAGGACTTCAACCCAGGTCTTTAGGGCTCTAGATCGAGGGTTGGTTGATGATAGCCCAGACCTAGCCCACTGCTCGTTTTGTGAATAAAGTTTTATTGACATAGACAATCAGATCCATTCACTTACATATCATCCACGGCTGTTTTCATTATACAGCTGCAGAGCTGAGTAGTTGTGAAGGAGACTAGTCCACGAAGCCTAAACCTGTGTTATGTGGTCCTACAGCTAAACTAAGCTTTCTCTCAGGTCTCTGTTAGGGTCTCATTAAATCCCCAGCACTCTCCAGGGATGGCTCCTGTCTCCAGTTTGCAGATGGGGCCTTGGGGGCTCTGAGCGATTCTGTGACTTGCCCTGCAGCACCTGTGTGGCAGTTCTTGCGGTCTTGGTGGATGACAGTCCTTGCTCTTGGCTGATACCTGCCATGTCCTGGGACAGTGGGGGCCTCAGGATCCGCCTTCTCTGATCAGCTCATGTTGGATGCTTTTCCCTTCTAGCTGCTCGCCACCTTTCTAATTCAGCTCGAGAGAAGGAAGGGTGTTCAGTCCTCGGGGATCATGCTCACTTTCTGGCTTATAGCCCTACTGTGTGCCCTTGTCATCTTCAGATCCAGAGTCACAACCGCCTTAAAAGAGGTAAGTGGTGGCCTCCTCTGGCATCCTCCTTCAGGGCCCCGTGGGAGAGATGCTTGTTCCTTCTCGCGTGTGTAGAAGTTAAGGGTTGCCATGGGTACCATGTCTTCTTCCCTGGGGCCATCCCTACTCCATCAAATCCTCACCAAGTCGGCTGTGACCTTTGTCCTAGAACCTTTTTTCCCTCATCTCCCCTTGACTGTGTATCCCCGAGGGGCCCACGTGGCTCTTGCAAGAGCTGGGGGCCAATAGTGTCACACTGTGAACCTTTGTCCACGGTACCGCAAAGGAAGTCTGCTCCATGTGTCTCCGGTTTGCAGTGGCATTAAGCTGGGAGTGGTATTTGCAGAGTGATTGTTTCCCCAGGGGCCCTAGACTTGTCCCTGTTTTACCTCTGTACCATCAGCCGCTCCTCTGGCTGAAGAAGTTTGCATTGGCTGCTGTGAACCGCTCTAGGAATTTGAGGAGTGTGCACTTTTTGACTCTAACCTGCTGTGCCCACCTACCTTGGAGCTAGTCAGGGACTGGCTTGAGGCAAAGGAAGGGAAAGGAAGGAACACTTATCGAGCATCCAGGGAGCGCAGAATGCTCTCTTTGATCCTAATGGCTGCTGACATTCATCAAGTTCCTGCTTTCTCATTGCCACTCAGGGCCTGAGTTTTTTTATGACTAATCTTGTGACTTCTCACGACGACTGACAGCGCTTCTCAGCCTCAGCAGCGGTTGCACTTTGGGCCGGAGGTGACTTTGTAACAGGTTGCTGTCCTGGACTTTGGAAAGTTCAGAGGCCTCCCTGGCCTCCCCGCCTTGGGTACCAGCAGCATCCCTCCCCTCGAGTCAAAACAAACGAGTCCCTAGACCTAACTTGGAGGCGTATCCCCTGGGAGGCAAACTTACCCTTAGTTGAGGATCCCTGGCCTGTTTGTACATGGGGAGACCGAGACTCAGAGAGGCTAAGAGAGTGCACAAGGACCCAGGGCCCGTGTGAGCAGAGCCAGGCCTTGTATGTTGCTCAGTTTCCCTCCTACACCTGGCCTTCCTCCTGCTGTGCGTGACCCTCCTGGGGAGTAGTGAGCAGTGTGGCGACGAGGCACAGAGCCACCTTTCCTGCTGTTCTGTCTCAGAGGAGGTAGGACACAGCCAGAAGCCTGTGACTAGACCTGCTGCAGAGAAGTGGGCCACCGGTAGCCCACTCTCCTGGCTGGTCTTTGTCAGTTTTCTGTTGCCATCATTGAGTACTACAGAGTGGATAATTTATAAAGAATAAAAATGTACTCAGTTTGTGGTTCTGGAGCTGGGAGCTCCAAGCTGGAGGCGCTCCATCTGGTGACACCTGGCTGATGAGGACTGTGCAGAGCCCAGGGCAGCTCAGGACATTGTCTGGTGATTCAGCAGACACCCTAACTTGGGTCTGTTGTCCTCTTTTTTTTTTTTTTTTGGATGGTACTGGGAGTGAACCCAGGGCTTTCACACTGAGCTACGTCTCCAGCCCTTTTAAACATTTTTTACTTTGAAGCAGAATCTCATTAAGCTGTTCAGGCTGGGCTCAAACTTGAGGTCCTCCTGCCTCAGCCTTCCAAAGTGCTGGGATTCCAAGCATGTGGCACCTTGTGTGACTTCTATTTCCTAAGGCTGCTGATGCCATCATGGGGGTCCTGCCTTCAAATACCATTTCCACATGACTTTGGGGATTCAGCCTTGATCATGAGTTTTAGAGGAGACAAACTTGTTGGCCTGGCAGCTGCTTCTGGAAAATGATCTTTTCTTTTCCTTTCTCCCATTCAGAGCGCCAAAGTCAGCCTGTTCCGTGATATCACGTTCTACCTGTACTTTTTCCTTGTGCTGATTCAACTTGTGTTGGCCTGTTTCTCCGACCGCTTGCCTCTGTTCTCCGAAACCATCAACGACCCCGTAAGTGTGACCAACGTGTGTGCCTGCGTGCAGGAGAGAAATATCATACGACACCAGCCAACGCTTGCTGGGGCTGATTCTGAGTCTTGTTATTACCTCAAATGTCCAAGACAAGCAGTGCCACCTCCTTGCTGCATAGGTATGATCACCAAGGTTTAGATGTGGCTAGGAAGGCTTAGGGAGAGAATCCGCCTGCTGGTTGTAGGTGGCTTAGTGGCACAGTGGTTTTAGAAAATGCGAGCAAATATTAAGAAATCAGTAAATATTATATAGATGTGGTCTGGCTAGGTTTCTTAAAAAATGAGAAGTTCTGGCAGATTTGGGCTAGAATCCCACGGGGAGCAGTTGGCAGGAACCGCAGGGTGTAGCTGGAGTCTCTTGTGCTCCCTTGGGTCCCGCAGCCCCTGCTGCCCTCCGTTACGGCACACATCTGCCCCCGAGGGATTCAGGTTTGAGACCTTTGTCTCCACTCTACTTCAGTGACGGCAGCTATGACAGCTGGAGCAAGGAGGTGGCCGCTCGTCCTGCTGGTAGAAGCTCGGGTGCAAAATCCTTTGTCTCCCTGGAGTCCCTCCCTCCTCCTCCTCACTCCTCCTTCGTTCTGTCTTCCTTCCTCTCCTTCTCTTCCTTCCTCCTCTCTTTTTTCCTTCCCTCCCTCCTTCCAACCTGGATCTGGGTGTTGGCTTTAGCAGTGAATAAAGCACAGTCCTTGCCCACTTGAGGCTCATGTTTTCAGGGGTAAGGGGCAAACATTAACCCAGGACCCCAGTGTTAGACGGTGGTAGAGGCTGAGACAAGAAATCAGGGAAGGCTGTGGAGGATGCTAGCCAGGGTCTTGTGCAGTGTGTGATCAGAGCTGTCAGGCAAGGCCTCCCCAGGAACACACGTGGACAGAAGTCTCTGGAGAGAGAGGCAGCCAGGCTGACACCAAGAGAAGAAGGGGTCTAGGCAGAGAAGCATAGCTGCTGCAGGCGCGAGGGCCCTTGGGTGGAGCTGTCTGAGAGTGTGCAGGGAACTGCAGAACACCCAGCGTTACTGCAGCAGCGAGAGTCGGGAAAGACCTAGGAGGTGAGCTGGCCCCTGAGGGTCCCCTGGGCCCTTTGGATGTTTCCAGAAGGAGGCAGGAAGCCGTTGGGGGGCTCTTTGTTCCTGGTCGATCAGTTGTGAGTGGGCGGATTGCAGTGGGAGCAGTTTTCAGCTGCTGCGAGTTCTGTTGGTTCAGCCTGGACCTCAGCAAAGGGCTGTGGGTGAGGAAAGACTTGGAAAGCCACTGGCATGGAGGAGGAGGTTGACACAGCCGAGAGGTCACAGAAACCTGTGTTCCCACGTGTTCTAGGAGACCCAGTTCCTGAACGTTCTGCTCAGGGAGGAACAAAGCTGGAGTCTTAGCCAAGTGTGTGTGTGTGTTTATGAGTTCACGTATCTGTGTGTGCTCCTGTATGTTTGTGTATTTACATGTGCATGTATGTGTGTTTGCACGTGTGTCTGTCTGCACAAATGTCAGAGTGTGTTCCTGTCCCCTGCTGTTTGTGAGTGCACGTGTGCACCTGTGTCTGTGTGTAGGTGTAAAGTTCTGAAACGCAGTGAGCGCGCCTAGGGCCCCCCCGTCGGGCTCTCGGCCCGTGCCTGCCGTGGGCTAGTACTGTGTCTCGCTCGTCTGTTTGTAGGTGGGAGGAGGCCAAGTGTTTGCTGCAGGAAACACCCCCTCGGTGTTGGGTTGTCCTGCAGAGCGGGGGCCGCATTACATAAGTTGTGCCCACCTGATTGGTTGTAACCCCTGGGTTGCCCTGGGGGTAAACCAGGTCCAAGTGGGCTGACAGGCCAGCGTGGGGATTACCTGACCCTTCCTGCTTCTTGGAAGCTTTATAGGGGGTGACTTTCTTCTCTCACTGGGGGAATCTCCATAAAAATCCCTCTGTAGCCAGGCCTGGTAGCATAAGCCTATAGACCCTGCACCCTGGGAAGCCGAAGCAGGAGGATCCCAAGTTTGAGCCTTGCATGGGCAACTTAGTGACTTTGCGAGGCCCCGTCTCAGAATAAAAAATAAAACAATGGGATGTAGCTCAGTGTAAAGGCCCAGGGTTCAGTCCCCTAGACTGCCCTTCTCCCCCGTTTCCCTTCTACTTCTGCCCTGGGAATGCATCTGTTAGGCTGACCTGATCCTCTCTTCCCGCTTTCTGTGTTCCCTGGACACTGGGCTCCCCCGCCGCCGCCCATCTTCTCCTAGTCACTGTGTCTCAGCTTCGGTCTCTCGCCTCCGACCCTCTCCGTGTCATTCCTGATCTTCCTGGAAAGCACGGGTTTGCCTCTCGAGCAGCGAGATCCAGTGGCAGACAAAGGTTTGTGGCCTGCTCCGTTTCTGCCTCTGAGCTGGGAGGCTTTCCTTGGTCCCTCTCGCCAGCCTGCCTCCTTTGAGTTACAGCTCAGAAACCCAGCGGATTGCCATTTGTCTCTTTGCAGTTTGGGCTGTAGACCAGGGAGTGGCCCCAACAAAATTTTCCCGGATCACAGCCATGCTTGTTCCTTAGCGTTGCTGGTGGCCGCCTGGAGACGTGGAGCAGGGCTGAGTAGTTGCTGCAGACTGTATCTCCTGCAGAGCCCGGAGTATTTCCAGTCTGGCTCTTTGCAGGTTGTCTTTTCCTGGTCTGTCCCATTGCTTGAGCGCTGCTGACTTTTACCTTCCGCTTTTGTCTGCCATCCTTATCCAGGGTCTGTTTTTCCTACAACAGGTGAGGACAGGGAGTCCCTGCTGTCTACCAGGCACTGTGCTGAGCCCTTCATATCTATGCTTCATTTAAGCCTCATGCCAGCTTCAGTGATCTTCAAGATACTGGTTTTTCCATTTTGCCAGCAGAGAAACTGAGTCTCAAGGAACAAAATGCCTTGCCCAGTGTCCGTGGTGGAGTAGGAATTCAAGCTCAGGCTTGGGCCTTCTGCAGAATCCTACCCCTGCTTGAGGGCAGGGCCTTGGCTAATTAAACAGCTCTGTGTTGGGCTGTGAGCTCCATGGGGCAGAACCTGCCCTGGGGTCCCAGGGCCTAGGACAGGGCCCTGTGTACATGAAGCCCTTAGGGTAATTCATTGCTGTTGTGTGGTGGGGAGGTGCTCAGTGTGGATGTCTCGCTAAAGTGCAAGGTCTGCCTGGGACCTCCCAGGAGGTCAGACCACGACTTCTCTCTGCCTCTGCCCTCTTCTCATGTTAGCAGGTGGAAGAGAAAGGATCAGCATTGTATAGTGACCTGTTGAAGGCCTGGTGTGGTACTAAGAGCTTCCTTTCCTCTTTAAAAATTTTTTAATTTGTTTATTGTGATACAGTATATAAGGTTTGCCTTTTTAAAAACTTTGGTACTGGGGATCGAACTCAGGACTTTGCGCTTGCGAGGCAGGTGGCAGCACCACCTTGGCCGCAAGGTTTGCCATCTTAAGAACTTAAAATGGCATTAAGAGCTTTCTATTTCATTCAGAGTCCTGCCACTCTACGTGGGAACAGTGACCAGTAGCACTGATCTCATCTGGAGCGTACTTAGATGAGCAGTGTCTCTCGGGCTTTTTCCCAGACCAGAACCTGCACTTGGACAGTGTCCCGGGGCATTCTTGTGCACAAAGAAATTTAGAAACCTTGGTTCAAACCTCACAGTAGCCTGGCAAGCTCGCTACCCCTGAGCCTCATCCCTAGCCCCAAGGGGTGTACGTGTGTGTGTGTGTGTGTGTGTGTTAAGGTGTGAAAGAATTGTGGCTCAATGTCAACTGAGATTAAGCTGCTGGGTCCCCGTTTATACCCTGATGATGGTGGTGGTGTGGTGCGATGGAAGAGGAGACCCCTGCTGGAATTGCGCTGACTTGGGCTCTAGTTCCACCTTGGTTCTTTTATCCCTTCAACAGGCATTTGCTAAGCTTCTGTTGCATAGTGTGCTGGGTACACAGCAGTGTGTGAGACAGACACAGCTTGAACTGTCGGAGAGGGAACACTGTTCCTCTGCTCTCAAGTTCGGGGTCTGGGGCCTGTGAATCAAACCCATAAAAGATTAATGGGAGGAGATGATTATTACATACACACAAAGGGTGGGCCTCACAAAAAATGAAAATCTCTAGAAGTGGTTAGGCCTGAGAGCTTACAGACCAGTGATGGCAAAGCTTTTAGAGCTTTCAATGATAACAAACAGCAGGCTGTGGCACACATGCCATAGGTTCACCACTGTTGTTACATACCTTTTTAACAGAGTGGTAGATTTTTGGAGAAATGACAAGACCAAGCAAAAAGGGCATAGGCTTCTATGAGTGGCACATTGTGAGAAAGTAAATAGATGGGAGAAACCACTGCAAGATAAGGATTATTTTAGTAAGGCTGGTTTGTGTGGATCCATTGGGGCTGCCTTGATAATGCTGGTTCTTCTCCTGGTCCGGAAGAGGAGTCGGGAAAACCAGCAGGAAACGGACTTTATGTGCTGCCTTTAGGCAGGTAGGGGAAGGACAGGGAATTTTCTGCACTGTTGGTGCATAATTGCTCGCAGCTCAAAACCATTTTTGTGCTAAAGTGGCACATTTTGGGGCCGCCTATTCTGAGGGGGTCAGAATTGATGACTCAATACAGTTGGCCCTCTGTATTGGAATATTCTCCATTCATGGATTCAACCAACTACAGATTGAAATATTTGCGGCAAAAATTTGTTCTGAACATGTGCAGACTTTTTTCTTGTCATTCTTCCCTAAACAGTGCAGTATAACAATTATTTGCACAGCAGTTACATTTATTAGGTATTTGAGTCACGATCTAGTTTAGGAGTGAAAGTGTAGGGAAGGCACGGTAGGTCACATGCAGATACTGCCCTCCTTTATATAAGGGACTTGAACATCTTGGATTTGGGTTTCTAACAGGGGCCCTAGAATGGATGGATTCTAAGGGGCAACTGTATAGTCCTGGCTTTCTCTGCATTTAACAGAAATGGATGGTGACACCTCATGGTCCTGTGTCTAGAGTGTGTCCAGTTCTGTCATTCCCT